CGGCGGCGCCTCCTTAAGTCGAGTAAGCCCAGCTGGCTTGGTTGCAGCCGCCTCCACTGCTGCTTTTCATTCTGAGGGATGTAAGTGTTGTGTGGTGGGGGAGCGGCACCTTAAGGTAAACTTGTCTGAAAAGTGAGGAAGTCATCTTGCTGGTAAATTAATGAGAGTTACTCTCAGTGTTCTTCAGAGGCTGAGGAAACGTGAATGTTTTGCACTTTTTCTGCTATCATTACTGTAAGTTTAAAAACCTTTTTGGTAACATTACTTCGCTGTTCCCTCAGTTAAAGATAAAGGTTATTATTCAAGCTGTCTCTATCGGAGAGAATCTCTGGTCATTTCCATTTCTTTTCTTTATTGTGATTTGTTTTAAGCTTAGTTAAAATTGTGTATTAGAGTGAGTTCTAGGAATTAAAAAAGTCTAGTTAGGGTAAAAAGTTCTTTTAAAGGTTTTGCTAAATCTTTCACTACCAAGAAAATAAACAAATGAAGTATTCTTAAACTGAAATCTATTTAACTTTACTTTACCATAAATTAGATTGTGGGGGGCAACCTACATTTTTGTGTAAATCTGCGTATTTCTTAAATGAATGTGTGAGCTCTTGGAATCTTCGTGAGCCTAGTAATGTTTTATGGTCCTTGTGGTATAAATTCTTTTCTCCAGGTTGCATACCTTTTGTTGTGAAGTGACGTTAGGCTGCCGATTGTGTTGTGAAGGTGCTTGGCTGGCCGCACCTCTTGGCAGTGTGTCTTTTATCTCATCACCTAATTTAAAAAATCCAGCACTTGATACTGTAACTGACAGAAATGATTGTACCAGCTGATGAAGTGATGAAAATGAAGAAAAGGAAAAAATTCCTTCTTTCAATGGCACGAGTTTATTTTTTTCTTAAGTGGCATCTATGTAAGTTAGAAATGGTTGTGTATTAAATTGGCAAATTTAAGTGTTTCTTGTGTTGATTCTTAGATTGTGAGGAGGACTAGACGGAATGTGAGTAATAGTTTCTACAGGTGTGAAATTTGATAAGCCAGATGTTTCATTTTGACATTTTAACATTGTGAACTTCTCAACACTCGTAATCTCTGTGTGTCTGTGAAACACTGTGCCATGTTTTCTGACTTCACCCAGGTGCCATTGTAGGTAAGAAGGGACAGCTGTTCTGATCTCCATCTCCACTGCCTTCGTCTGGAAATTCGGGAGCAGTTCACAGTAAGCCCCCCAGCGGTCTGCAGACTGCAGCGCCTGCAGCGCCTAGCTCGTCACCAGACTCCACAGACGGGGTGCACGGTGCCATCGGCATTATTCGGTAAAACAGAAAAACACAGGCATGCACACAGGTGTGTGTGCTCTATTTTGAGCAACGTCAACAGGTGCAGCTTTGGCTTTGAACAGAATTCCAGATAATTTTGCTCTTGTACCCACCAGATCACAGAAAACGTGAATAAAAGTAAATGTTTCTGCACTCTATCTTGCTTTTCCCCCCTTTTAAATGTTTCCGTTTGTGAGATGAAGAATTGGTTATAACTTGTGGAGAAGGGAGAAAATAAGTAGTCCGCGGTGGCTTCTCCTTCAGAGCGTCACTGGGAGCCACGCGTTAAGGGCTCCGCATGGACTGTTTTCTTTTCCCAGCAGCACTGGCAGGGAGGTACGGTTACTTCTCTGTCCTTAAATAAGAGGACTGAGGATAAGAGGCTGCGTGTCCACAGGGACAAGTTCCAGGCTGTGGCACTAGAATTTGAAACCAAGGAGTGTGCCTCCAAGAGCCTCTGCTCAGAACGTGGTGTTTGTGTTGCTTCATACGTTGGCCTGTTACCATTCGACTAAAAACGGGGGGCTTTTAGCGTCTTTTGATTCGTATCAACTCGGAAGATTTTTCAAATATACTTATTTTATTCAATTCTTTTAATAAGTAATACATTCACATTGTTCAAAAACCAAGAAAATACAAAAAGCTACACAGTGGAATGTCTCCTTCCTGGCCTTCCCCGGCCCCTGCCTCTGCCCTTGGCTTCTTGTGTCCATCCATGCATTTTAAGGCAGATACTAAGTCTTATTTTTTCCCTCATTTTAACCCAAAGAGTAGCATCATATACATACTACTTGCTTTTTTTTTCACTTAGTTTTTCTCAGCAGTCCTCCCACTTTTTTTTTTTTTAAAGTAACTGCTCGGCGTTCCATTACATGAAAGTACAGTCATTTAACTAGCCAATCTCCTATTAATGGGCATTTGGATTGTTTCCAGACTTTGTATGTAAGTCATTTCACACATAAATAGATATGTACTTGTCATCTAAATGCCCCCAAATGGAATTTTGGGGTCAAAGACCATGCGCACTTGTAATTTTGGAAGATACGAGAATACTGCCCTCCACAGGGGATGGTTACGAGTTTGCCCACCCACCTGAAATTTAAGACCATGCCTGCCAACCCACAGCCTCACCAGCGCCGACACTATTAAGAAGCTGGATTTTTGCCATTCTGCTAAGACGCAGTTACGCGTCGCTGTGTTTCAGCTTGTACTTTTCTCATCGTGAGTGCGGCTGACTGCCTTTAATACGTTCAGGAGCCACCTGTGTTTCCGTCTGCATTCATATCTTTTCCCCATTTTCCTGGGGCTCTTAGCACTTCGAGGAGTGCTTTACTTGTTAGGGACATTAATCCTCTGACTGTAATACACTGTAAAATTCTTTTTCAATTTGTCTGTCTTTTGACTTTGCTTATGATGGTTTTGACGTGCAATTTTTAAATTTCTACGTGGTTTCTGGATTTTGAGTGGTAGTTAAGAATATGCCTTCTTCACTCCACTGCAATAATTCAATTGTATCTTCCCGCAGAGCTTTTATGGCTTTATTTTTTTAGATCTAAATGTTGGTTCCTTGGGGTGTCTCCTGGCATAAAGTGCAAGTTACAGGTGCAGCCTGGCTTCTTCCCCGGTGACCGCCCAGTTAGTGCAACCCCGCTCATCGCACGGCTCCTTCCCCCCCGCCAGTTGGAGATGCTGCGTTTGTCACCTGTGGAGTCCCGGGCTCTCCTCCTGTCCCGTTGTCTGTTAACTCGTGCACCGACACTGCGTTATTTTAATGGCTCAGAGCCTGTATTTTAATACCTGGTGCGCTGGTCTCCACCCACTTTTGTTAAAATAATTTTTTTAGCTCTTCTTGTTGGTTCCATATGAGCTTCTAAAAATCCTTTAACTTATGGACCAGGCAGAAGCTCCATCCAGCTCAGGGTTTTCTCCGGAGGGGAGCACTTCTGACCGCACAGCGCGTCACGGTTGTGTTAATTTGACATTTCACCTGGTGAAGACCTGCCCCGTGCTGTCGGTTGTGGTCATTATCTCAGTGTCCTCCTGCCAGGGCCCATATGGCAACGCGGGGCCCAGACGGGCAGAACGAGCAGTGCCTCTGGAGACGGGGTTTCCTCTCAGTGCTTCGCTTTTAGGACTTAGTTCTCAGATCATTCTTAGGAATTATCTTGCTGTCCAATCCCATTTGCCTTTTTATTTCCATTATGGGCTCTTTGTCCAAGAGTTGGATGTCTTCGAAGAGCCATTAAAAAAACAAGGGGGGAGCCCTTAACTGCATTTTAAACTTGTAAAATCCATATGCGGTGGATAAAAGGTCACCTAAAAAAACCCCAATGATATTGGCCAAAACAACAGGATGGGGGGGCTCCCTCCCCTCCCAGGAGCTGGGCGCGCAGCAGCAAGCAGCGTCCCTGCCGCCGCGTGGCCTGACTCGGTCATGTCGAGTTTGTGGTGACGACATGCCCAGGGAGAGTACGGCTGGCCCCTGAACGTGGCACTGAGCCGCACGAGTCCAGCAAACACACACGACAAAGCGGCAGCCCCGGGGGTCCGCACCCGCGGACACGGCGAGCTGTGAAGTCGCGAAGCTGCCTGTGCACTTCCGGCCACACCGAGGTCAGCCGTGCTCACGCGGAAACCTGCTTGTGGAGCAGGTACCCTCAGTGTCTGCTTGGCAGGCCAGCAAGTTGTCGCAGACAAAACCAGCCCCTCGGTCAGGGCAGCCAGCATTCACCACACATCGTCTGACAGAACTGAACCTTCCCTGCGGACCTCCTCACAGACTCTCTCCCCATGGTGAGTGTTCTGCTCTCTGACGGGTGCCAGGTCCGCACTCCTGAAGCCCAGACTCCGGCGAGTGGACGCACCAAGGGGCCAGCACACCGAGGGAGTACGGGACAAACTGGCCGGCAGAGCGGTAACTCGTGGATCCTAAGCGAACCCTTTTTATACCTCAGGTAATGCCGTCCAGGACCAC